TATAGTTTATTGACTAGCTTGTTATAACCCTAATACACAATAGCCTTAACTAGTAAGGCAGACTGCACTTGGATGTCTATAGAGAAAGCTAAGTAATATCAAATCTATAATTTAGATAGTTTAGAATATTCTTGTATATTTGTTTTGATTTAATAAAGATATTAGCAAGGCTGCCAATATATAGAAAAAATATTTAATATTATTTTTATCTAACTTTATATTAATTAATAATATATAATTTATTAGTCAATCTAAATAAGTCTTTGACTACTCTAGTAGGTTTAGATCACAAATAAAGTAATCTAAGCTTCAATTCTTATATGTAGTTTTATTTTTATATATTTTATATATTTAAAGATTAGTAACTTATTGTAGTTACTATATTAAAAACTATTAATAAAAATATGAGCAAGGCCTTATTTTAATACCAAAAAAAATAATAATTTTATTAGTTTTTTTAATATAAGAGTTAATATATATAAAAAGGCCTTAAAAAATTATTTGCAATAGACTATACAAAGATATTTTGGTTTTGAACAATTTTAGAGTTACTATGTAAAAGGATTCTAGAAATTTAATAATTTTTTAGCTATCACCAAATCTTCAGATTCTAAATATCTTTTTTTAAATTAGAATGAACTTTTATAAAATTATTTATAATACAGTCAAACCTCTCTATAGTCACATCTTCAGGATACAAAAAGCTGTGATTATAAAGAAGCATGATTAATATAGATGTATTTTTTATATAATTATAAATAATTAGTAAAAATAAATTTGTAATTATATTAATTTTGTGACTATAAAGGAGGTACTATAGAGGGTTGACTATATCTTTGATTTTAAAAAACTGTTTAATTATAAGATAAATAGAATTTTACTTTATATACAATTGTTATATTTAATTTGCCTTGCATTACTACCAAAATCATCAATGAAACATTAATTAAGACAAAAATATTATAATTATTAGCTAAATAAAAAATACAATTTAAAAATGGCATAAAGTATGAGGTTTTGTAGTTAAAAGAGTCAAAAAAATATGATATTGAAATAATCAAGTTTATCATATTCTGAAAAATTATGTTTTTTGATTAATAAATTCAGGGTATTTTTATACCAAAATTTATCAAAATCCTGTTAATTTTTGCATCTAAATTTACTCAAATTTTATGATTAATTTTTGTGCCATAATTTGCCCAAATCTTATTATTGATTTTTAGGGATAGTTTGCAAAAAAATATTTTCTTAATGAGATTTATTATAAAAATTTTAAATTGGTTAGTCTTTGAAATGTCTTCAGAACCCAACTACATAAATTATATCAACTATAGTTTTAGGTAGTATTAAAGCCTGCATTTTATAACAACTACACATAACCTTTTACTAATCAAGGCTATTTTTAATTTATAGCTAGTAGAAAATGCTTTTATTTTACTCATCTATGCTAGTCGAAAAAATATGATTTTGAGATAATCAAGATTATTGTGTTCTGAAATTATGTTTATTGGTTACTAATTTCAGGTGATATGCAAACCTAAAATTTTTTATCCAATAGATTTTTGCGCCAAAATTTGCCCGAATCTTATTGAATTTCGCGCTGAAATTTACTCAAATCATATGATTGATTTTTATGCTGAAATTTACACAATTTTTTTTATTGATTTTTAGGGTAGTTTGGGCCCTTCTACCACAAAAGAATATTTTCTTAATGAAATTTATTATAATATTTTTTAAATTGATTTGTTTTTGGAATATCTTTGGAAACCCAACTGAATATGTAAATTGTATCAACTATAGTTTTAGGTAGTTTTAGAAACTTGCATTTCACAAAGACTGCGACATAAATTTTTACTAATCAAAGCTATTTTTAATTTATTGCTAGTAGAAAATGCTTTTATTTTACTCAACTATGCTCTTAGGAAAACGTTATACTTTCTTTAAGTATCCAATTTTCGGCATAGCATGAAATTTGAATCAATAAATTTTAACCCTTTTTCTTGCTGTAAGAATATTGTAGACTTTAACAAGATCAAGCGATTACTCATAAATTTATGGATCTATCAGCTCACCAGTTTCAAATGTAATTATATTTATTTGAAAGTTCATTGTATACCGTTGCATTTAGTATTCCGATCTAGCCGACCTGAATGACTCAATACTAGCATGTTAAAATATATAGTTATTGGATGCGAAGCAGCCAATAACAGAATTATTTGAAGATGATTCATTTTATCTGGCTGCGTACGTGCATCCAATAATGGTGGCTTACGACGACCGAACCAACAGAATAATTCGAATTAAATAACGAAGTTATTTGATGATGATACAATTACCATGATCATAGTAAACTGCCTGATAATATATTTTATTATATAAGGTCTATAAAAAATTTATCCCGGCTTCCTCTAGACTATCGTTCCATTATCGATCCGGAAAATGCTCATTTTTCGGAAAAAACATACATAAATTCTTGGTCATTTCCATAGAATCCTAATACGGGTAAAAAATCAAATTCCGGCTTCTAATTATAATGAAGTACTAAAGATTGGAAGCCGTATCTTAGGCGAGACCAATTTTAATTCGTGTTTTACATTACCCCCTCACCTCCAAAAGAGGGGTGGGGGATTTGTGGTTTAAATAGTAAAATTTTAAAAAAATTTTTTTTCCAAAAAAAATTTTCCGAACTGTTTCGTGACTATATAAAAATTTTCCAAAATAGCTCGTAGCCCTATATATATTTATCTAAATTTTTTTACTATGAGGGAGAGGGGGAACGCTGGGGGTAATGTAAAACACAGAATCAAGTTGGTCTCGCCTTATTATTCTTCTTTACTCTCATCTGTGCCTATTCCACTTAAGTAGCACCATCCAACATTAAATTGTCCGCGAGGATTACCACTTTTAGCAGATTTTAAAGACCATTCAAATGCCTTTTTTTCATTCTTATTTTTGCTTATGCTATTTTCATAACACCAACCAAGATGATTTTGTCCATAAGAATTATCACCTTCAGCAGATTTTAAATACCATTTAAATGCCATTTTTTCGTCTTTATTTGTACCAATGCCATTTTGATAGATTATTATATCTAAGTGAATCACCGTCTTCAAATAACACTCAAATGCCTTTCCTTCATCTTTATCTATGCTAAATCCATTTGACCAAGATTGCATTTTCCAAGTGGATCACCACCTCTAGCAGATTTAAAATCCCATTCAAATGCCTTTTTTTCATCTTTATCTATGCCAATGCCGTCTCTGTAACACCATCCAAGATTACATTGTCCCACCCTCTGCAGATTTCAAATACCACACAAATGCCTTGTTTTCATCTTTCTCAGTGCCAACTCTATTTTCGTAGCACCATCCAAGAATACATTGTCCACGAGAATTACCACCTTCAGCGGATTTCAAATACCACATAAATGCCATATTTTCATCTTTTTCAGCATATTATAGATACAATTCAAACGCTCTTTTTTCATTTTTATCTGTGCCTATGCCATTTTGGTAGTACCATCCAAGATTACATTGACCACAAGAGTTGCCACCTTGAACAGATTTCAAATACCACTCAAATGCTTTTTTTTCATTCTTATTTGTGCCCATGCCATTTTAAATAGCACCAACCGAGGTTATTTTGTCCAGGCCTACCGAATAATTGATTGTGGGGCAATTAATTGCAATATTTCGAACTCAATTAATTGATTATTGGCGCAGCCATAATTGGTCAATTAATTGCAATTTTACGTATTTGGATTACATATATATCCGCCATTAATCACAGCAAATAAATACGATTTTGGATTTTTCGCTGTTTAAAAATCGGATTACATCAGGCATCGCTTTACGCAGAAAATTGAATTTAATTGCAATTAATTGCAATTATTTCGTCATTAATTGGGTTTCAATTAATTTCATGATAATTTTAATTGATTTTAATTGTATGACATAATTAATTTTTCGGTAGGCCTGATTTTGTCCCAATGTATCACCACTTTCAGCAGATTTCAAATACCACACAAATGCCTTTTTTTTTTTTTTTTTTTATTTGTACCTATGCCATTCTCATTATACCATCCAAGATTACGTTGTCCATTCGAATTACCACCTTCCGCAGATTTCAAATACTACACAAATGCCTTTTTTTTTTTTATCTTTATTTGTACCTATGCCATTTTCATAATACTATCCAAGATTACATTGTCCATTCGAATTACCACCTTCAGCAGATTTCAAATACCATTCAAATGCTTTTTTTCATCTTTATTTGCACCTATGCCATTTTCATAGCACCGTCCAAGATTAAATTGCTCACGAGGATTGCCACTTTTCTGCAGATTTTCAAATACCATTCAAATGCTTTTTTTCATCCTTATCTATGCCGACACCATTTAAATTGTCCATAGTGGTCGCCTCTTTTGGAGGATTTTAAATTCATTTTTTGTGCTTTTGCACAAAAAGCATTATTCAATATTTTTTAATTGTTGTGTAGCAATGGAGGTTTAAAATGTACGTACAAAACCATGCCAAACCCGTGCCAAAACCCGTGCCATTTGGACTAATAAAGTGTTACAAAATTCCGAGTCATTAACGGTCCAATCGGCACTGGCGTACGGCCTAACACAAGACACAATTGTGCAAACTCAAACCTCTTACGTACAAATCGGTTTTTATCCGTGCCACTGATACCCGTGCCATTACGACCTTTTTTTTTTTTTTTTTTTACAGGATGTAAGATTAGTACTGAAAAGGAATTAAAAAATAAATGCAAAATTTTGGTGAGCCTTTTAAATTTTGTGCTTTTTTATTAATAGTTAACTAGTACATGAATGTAACACTCTCAAAATAAAACCTATATCGATATATAAGCATATCAAATATAGGTAATAATGAAATATACAAAAAAAGTCTGAGCATTCCAAATAAACCTAACCTTTACTATAAAAACCGTCAGCTCGTTATAATAGAGTTGATTTTATATGTCAGTTAATTCTATCAGATAATGTACTTTTTTAAATGGTTAGGCTTAGGCACTACGCCAATTTTATCCCATTTTAAACAATCTCGATCAGTTTCGTTCCATTCTCTGATCGTACCATCTGTACCAACTCTCATTGCAATCAATGAGGGAGAAACAGAAATAGAAGGGGATACTACATCTTCTTTAATAAGATCGATCATGGAAATATTATTGTCATCAGTATCAGTAGAAGTAACACGTTTTATAAATTCATGACAACGTTCAAATGCTACTTTTGAAGGTTTAGAAAAAGTGTAAAGCTGTATAATTTGATCATATGTAAAAAAAATCAATAATAAAATTTTAAAAGTATTTACGACAAAAAAAAAAATTTAAAGTATACTTACATGCCAGACATGAGGCATATCATCATAGACTTCAAGTATAACTTTAGTAGGTTTTTTAAA